AGGTCTAATACTCGGTGTCAAGGATCAATACTAGGTGTCAAGGTCCAATAATCGGTATCTAGGTCTAATATTCGGTTTCAAGGATCCATACTAGGTGTCAAGGTCCAATACTCGTTATCAAGGTCTAATACTCGGTGTCAAGGATCAATACTAGGTGTCAAGGTCCAATAATGGGTATCTAGGTCTAATATTCGGTGTCAAGGATCAATACTAGGTGTCAAGGTCCAATAATCGGTATCTAGGTCCAATAATCGGTATCTAGGTCTAATACTCGTTATCTAGGTCCAATAATCGGTATCTAGGTCTAATACCTGTTATCTAGGTCCAATAATCGGTATCTAGGTCCAATACTCGTTATCTAGGTCTAATACTCGTTATCTAGGTCTAATACTCGTTATCAAGGTCCAATAATCGGTATCTAGGTCTAATACTCGTTATCTAGGTCTAATACACGTTATCAAGGTCTAATACTCGGTGTCAAGGATCAATACTCGGTGTCAAGGATCAATACTAGGTGTCAAGGTCTAATACTCGGTATCAAGGATCAATACTAGGTGTCAAGGTCTAATACTCGGTATCAAGGATCAATACTCGGTGTCAAGGTCTAATACTCGTTATCAAGGTATAATACTCGTTATCAAGGTATAATACTCGGTGTCAAGGTATAATACTCGTTATCAAGGTCTAATACTCGTTATCAAGGTATAATACTCGGTATCAAGGTTGTTACACTATACATAATAAATCATGTCTACAATGAAACGTCGCGCGTCATAATTCTGAAAGAAATTAAGGAGAAGACAAGCATAACTTGGTTGGAATAACTCCACATTGGTATTACTAGGATTCGGGTATACAAAAGAAGTTGAATGAAAAATCGATACTGCAACTGAAATGAATAATCAACAAAAAGTTATGTCTAATTTTTTTATTTCAACATAAAGTTAACTCAGTTCCTCCTATCCTGTTCCACATGTCTTAGTTTCCTTTAACACTCCACGTGACCGATGCATACATTAAGCTAGCATTGTTTTCTTAACTCTCAACTCAATATTTCAAGTCGCGAAATTTCGGGATGTCCGCAACACATACTTCAATGTGTATTGCTTGTCAGCCTAGTCGAAAGTTAAGAGGAAACGCAGACAAGAACTCGGCAGCCGCATCTTTAAAATCCAAAAATGTGATCGGCCATAGCTCGGACCCCTGCCCATGTCTCTATGACAGTGCGCTCGATATAAGACACAGGAAGGACGAAACCATAACGTCCCGTATCCCTCAGTTCTAATGTGTATGAGAACTTAATATTGGCCCCGCCTTTAGCCCAGTCATCTGACCCTCCAGCTGCAGAATCTAAAAAAGAAGGAGAAAAAAACTAACCATAATCAATTTCAAATAGTGAATGTATTCGCAAACAATATAATTGTGCAAACAATATAAATGTGGATACGTCTTTACACTTTTGGTATTGACCAACCTGAACGGTTCTTTCTATTCACTTCATGAAAGTCTCAGATTTTCCGATCACTATTTCCCAAGAAGTAGCCTACTAGACAGATCTGTCTCAAATATAGGTTCCCCTTGTTACTCATTAAGTAATGTACCTATCAATAAGTCAAACTTTGAACAAATAATGGCATACACAGCAGAGGGAAGCTTTGATCAAAAGTTACCAGAAGGTGTATTTACTGTTAACATGACTCAATCCAACAGATAAAAGATCAGTTATATTTAAAAACATGGTACAATGGTGGTCGCCAAATAATCCCTTGTTATTATATTTATTTTTGAATGTTGTGCCTGGGTTGTAAACATAGTCAAAAGTTTGAATGAAGGCATTAAGGTGTAAAAGGCATACATACACAAAACCTGTGTTGAAGATCCCACCTCGTAAACAGTACCATTAACACTTCCCAGTGCAGTTTTGGCAATGTTTCCCGCAATCGTCTAAAATAACAAATATTCAAACGAAAAACATTAGTCCAACTTATCATCTTGGCACCAGTTGCTTTCTTGCATCTGTTTTCAGGTAAGAAACAATTGTATTTATTGAAAACTGAGTGGCGTCAGTGCACTTTTTTTTAAGTATTCTTGCCTTATTAAAAAAAAAAACGAAAACAATCTGCTAGTTTAGTTTGTTTTTCTTTTCTTTTGTTTTTGACATATCTTTGGCAGAAAGGAATAATTAGCTTATTTTCAAGAGTGTTATGTATACACTAATATAGCTCGCATGCAAAAGTTGCCAGCTAGGGTCATTCAATATATATATATTTATCACATACATGTAACTGACCCATTTTACTATGTCATATGACCATGTCTTAAATATGGTAATACACACGTGTATCAAAACCTTAAGGTGCTGTGATTGGTCAAAATTATTATGTAAATTAATATTTACCAAGGTGGTAAATCATAACCACAACAAAAACTTATCCGAAAGGCCATCGTTGAAAGTGACAGTGACTCTCAGTAGGCCTGCTGCCACTGCTTGAAACGACATATGAGGCGTGACGTCACAAAATTGTGAACTCTATTAAGTGCGATTTTTCTGATATATTTAAATGTCTGGGTTATTAAATGAATTGGAAATATTTAATTTGGCATTGTTATTTTCTTTGCATGTAAAACTGTTCATTTTTTAAATTTACAAATCTGGAACTACTTTGCATTGCGCGAACAACGATACTATGATCGGAGTACTTTGGTTTTGACCTATATAGAGTCAGCTGATAATACAAAGTTGTGTTTATTTTTTTCAAATTATGAATGTTATGTTATAAATAGAATCTCACATCAGTGTCCATATCATATTGAATTGATTAAACAAGTTCAATAATTTGATATGGCACGAGCCTTAGCCTAAATGCTCGTGTCACATCAAATTATTGAACTTGTTTAATAAATTCAATATGACATGGACACTCATGTAAGATCCTCTATATATTTATATATATTTATTTATATTGCCCCCATGTGTGTTGTGTAAGCGTGCATGCGTGTGTGTGCGCCGAGACAGGTATGTTGGTGTATTTGCCTCCTTGTGATAGTGCGGATCTGCTGCCGACTTCATAGTGCTTTCACACTGAAAAACCATGTCGAAGGCACCAAGCTATTAATCCACCCGATCACAGTATACTTACAACGGGTGAATCAGTTCGTTAAGCAGGGAATAACAACTTCCATTTCTAAGGACTTTGATATGCCCCGGCCTGGGGACAGAACCAATTGCCTTCCTTACCTGGGCAAATGTTCAACATTAAAGCCAAAAGTGAGGCATTACCAAGCAAGGCGCTAGGAAATAAAATGTAGTTAAAAGTAGAGAGATATACAAAAATTCCAAATATTGCAATCAGCAGATTTATTTTGGTCATTTTTGTCCCCAAGTAGAGAACAAAAAAGCAAATCCCCACTTCTGCAGAGGTTCACCCGCGTCAGTCGCCTCTTACGATAACAGCAGGTGTATTGTTTTCTCGATCCCCGACCTTAAGGGATGACACTCGTAAAGTCTTGATTGAAAAAAAACCCAATTTTAGTTATTTGAAAAACGTTATAAGGCGAATACCATGACGTCAGACAGTATACTACATTGTGTAGCTACGTTACTGACATGTGACGGCAGACATTATACTACATTGTGTATCTACGTTACTGACATGTGACGTCAGACATTATACTACATTGTGTAGCTACGTTACTGATATGTGACGTCAGACATTATACTACATTGTGTAGCTACGTTACTGACATGTGACG